AAACCACCGCTGCCGCCGCTGCCGCTGCTATTGCTGCTGCTGGCGGCGGTCTCGGTGGCGGCAGTAGCGGCGGCGGTGTAGCGGGCCGGCTGGACGACCGGATCCGGGTGGTGGTGGTTGGGTCCGGGTCGAATGTACGACAGGCGGTACGGATGCTACCACTGTTTCGCGAGTTTGCTCGTCTGGTTCAGCGGCATTATCCGGGCCGATTGCGGGTGAGTGAGGGGTTGGTGGGAATGTGCGGGGGTTTTGCGGTGAAGGGGGGAAAGGAAGGAGTTTTCCTTTTAACCTTAGGCGGCGCATTTTAAACCATCTAGCAGGGCGCCTTTTAGCTGGGAGGTGAGGCATACAGGGCTGGGGGCAACGGGCGGGGTGGGGGGCTGCGTGAACACGCGGATATGGGCGGATATAGCGGTGTCCGGTAGGAGGATTGATAGCGACCATGTGCGGACATTGCGCACACCACCACCGTTCTAAATCGGCTGTCGCCAATGTTATCAGGGCAGGAGCTAATATAGCTGACAGACAGCAAAGTTAGTGTGGCCTATCTGGGCGCTTTCCATATTTAGCTTTTCCATCCCCCTTCCCCCGCCCCCTACCACAACCACCACCCTCCTCACACTCACCCCCCGCGTGTGCGCCCGCCCAGGCGATGTACCTGGTCGACCTGCCCCGAGGACTGCGGATGAGTGTGGGGGCGGTGCTGAACCTGCTGTCGAATGAGACACGGCAGAAAGTCAATGTACGTGTGTGTTTGTGTACGTGTGTTGGGGCGGCCCTCCAGGGGGTTTGTGGCAAAGCAAAAGCAAAAGGAAAAGCAGGACAGAGTTCAGTTGTGTTGAAAGCGTGTTCACCTGCGCGGACTAAGGAAAGAGGCATTTCGGTCAGGGAACCACATTGGGGGGAGGGGGGTGGGGGGAGGAGGAAGGGGAAGAGGAGGGGGCCCCCTCTCACCCTCTCACCCTGACACTACGAGGTATCCCCCTCTCTGGACTCTTTTGACCTCCACCACACGTGCAACCACCACACCTACCAAAACCCGCCTCAGCCTTGGCTTTCCTCGCCCACACCGGGTTGATGACATCACAACGCATACGACACCTTCCGGAAGATCCCCTTTCACTTCCCGCTTTCGCGCATATGATTCCCCCATACCAGGTGTGCCGGTTAGAGGACCTGCCGGATTGCATCTCTGGCGCTATAGCGGCTCGGGAAGCTGCCGCAGCAGCAGCAGCAGCGGCCGCGGCACTGCATCGCCATCCTGTTACCCTGGCGCCGGACCGGCAGCGGCGGCGGGGACGGGAGCGTCAGGGCGAAGGTGGGGCAGGACAGGAGGGGGAAGGGGGGGAGGAAGGAGAAGGCGAAGAAGAGGATGGCGGCGTCAGCGGAGCCGCCACTGCCGCAGAAGCGGCGGCTGCCGGCCGTAGCGGCGCTGCCGGCCGTCTGCTGGCAGCGGCGTTAGCGTTAGCGCTGGCGGCGGCGGCGGCGTGCCGGCTGGGGCCGTCGTTAGGTCGGGCGGCGGGGGCTCGGGGCGGCGGCACCGCCGCCGCGGCAGCAGCGGCGGCAGCTGCCGCCGCGCAGGTGCAGCTACAGCAGCTTCACGAGCTACGGCTGTGGCTGATGCGAGTGATACCAGCCCTGGTGATGGCGGCGATGGCTTGCCTCACGTATAAAAGCCTGCTGGCGCGACCCTAGATAGATTGGCGGCGGCTGCGGCGGCGGCAATCGTCCTTAAACGTAGTTTGTGCGGCCGTACGTACGGCCCGTACTGCCATATTGTACAGTACAGTAAGGGGTGTAACAGTCCATTTGCTGACCTTACTGACCAAGTTTTTCGGTACGCTTTGGGAGTTATCAAAAGAATGGGAGTTTTCGAAAGAATAGTCTTTGAGTGGTTTTATGTGCAGAAAAAAGAAAGTAGATTTGCGAGAGGAGGAGGTGGAGGAGGAGGAGGAGGAGGGGGGGGAACAGAGGCTTTTCCCTTCCCCCCAGAATAATGGGTATCTTGCAGTACTCCTCTCTCGTACATTTCCCGTAGTTTCTCCCCTCTACCACCACCACCACGCATATACACACAACGACGCACTCTACGTTTTTTCCCTCCTCCCGCCGGGGGGCCCTACCGCCAGGTGAGGGTCTGGGGTCTCCTCCCGCCTATGACTTCAGACTTAAACTGCTCTTTCTCCCCGTTTCCCTCTCCCCTCGTTGTTGGGTATTTCGTTGTTGGTTGTTGGTTGGTGGGTGAGCACAATGGTGTGAGGGAGGTGGACTCCCCACACCTCACACGAGCGAGGAAGGGGTGTGTGTGTGGGGGGGGGAAAGGATGAGGGGTTCGGACGTGATGCCCCATAAGGTGATGGCGGGATGATGCAGAGCGGAGCGGAGCGATGTTGGTTTGTCGTTCGGGCGGTAGTGACGGTTCCTCCTCCTTTACCCTTTTTTATCATAAAAAGGAGACGAGCAGAGAGGGAGGTGAGAGGAGGTTGGGAGGTGGGCAAGCAACCCCGGTGGCTGTCTGCAGACGCAATCGAGCCCTGGCTAGTAGCCAGCCAGCACGTGTTTATGTGTGTGGAGGGGAGGAGGGAGGGGAGGAGGGAGGGGAGGAGGGGAGTGTGCTGTGAGACGGGTGTGCTGTGTGACGGGTGTGCTGTGTTTTTGGATGTTGGCGGAGTGAGATATGGTGGGTTGTCGTGAAGGGTGTTGTACAGATTACCAGGATTACTACCTTTTTTGAGCTTACTTGAGAACTTACTGTTACATGCAGCTTGGACAGTACAGGAGAAGAGAAGCGCAAACATGTGTTGTGCGTTTGTATTGCGTCCAAGAATCATTAACGGGTGAATCTGCGCCGCGAAAGAGGGCAGGATTGTATTCTCGGATGCGTATTTGTTGTACGGCATGTACGGTGTAGCAGTCGAATGGGGCATGGCATATGAAACACATGGCAGGTTGGCGAACGGGGTATGTATGTACGAACTAGTACGGCAATACGGGATGGATCTCTCACTGCACGTGTTATGGAAGCTCACTCGGTCGTTTGCCCCGAGAACGTCCGGGGCGCGGGGGATGGGAAGATGTTGCTGGCCGACAAAAAATATGTATACGCTCGCTAGCACGCATGCTGATGTTTGCACCTACTAACAGACATGTTCCCGCCATATCCCTTTATCCCCCAAAACACACCTGTGCCGTTCGCCCCGAGGAAGTCGTCCGTGTGGTCGGATTCGCGAGGCGATTCTCTTTCCTTTTTCTCTGGCCAACCTCCCTTTTGGGTTGCGCTTTACACGTGTTCTTTTGGGATCCGTTTGGAATCCTCTTTACTCTTCCCCTTCCCTAACCAACACACATACGTACTCATGCGGATTTCGTGTGTTCTTAACCCCCCTCCTCTACCTGGAAGCTTCCATCTCCCTCTTCCAATTGTCGGCGTTTCTTTCTTTGTCAGCCCCTTATGCCCCTCTCTTCCAAGGAAAGCTGCTGATGCTGATATTGATGCTGATGCTGTTTTTTGTGGTGCTTATGTGAACAGTGTTTTCTTGCCCCGGTGGGGACAGCCCGGTGGAGCAGCCTGAACCTGAAGGGGGGGAGGTATTGCGTTGCTTCGGGTGCGTGGCTTTGGGGCCGGGACGCAGGTGTTGCTGCTTGCTGTGCTTTGGTTGTAGGGAAAAGGCAAGTGGCCTTGCGTGCGGCATCGGAGGTTGTTTGGGTGGTGGTGGATAGGTGCCAAGGACAGCAAAAGCCGCAGAAAACGGCGACCTATGGGGGCGGCTTGGAAGACGGGAAGTTTATTGGCGTTTTTCGGTTTGGATTTTCCCACGGCCGCACGGTGGGTGTGGGTGCGTGTGGATCAGGAGTGCGTGCTGCTAGGCATTTGGCAGAGTGCAAGTGCAACAAAACGACGGTGTGATAGCGTCGCGGATTTGTTGCAAAACGTGCATTGGCTAATGCCAGGTTTCCGGGCTGAATGACATGGACAGTATGGCTGCTGTGTGTCCATGGATGGATTTGGAAGGTTTAGTGCATTTTTGCTGTGCGCGGCACCGGAGCTTTTAAGGTCACGGAATTGATGGACATAAGGTGGTGATGTGACGGGTTACGCAAGAGCCCGTCGGCGCACTAAAAACCCGTACAGTGTGCAAGCATACATATGGTTCCTCGCTCGTGGCCCTTACGCATGGCTGCACGGCCTGCATAAAAAGCCAAAATCACTGAACCTGGCGACAAAAATCCCGCCGACAGTAAGCGCAGCTTTAGGAATAAGCAGTTCGCAGCCTAGGACACCTTCTGCCGTGTTGGGAGAGATGCCATAAGGGGTTCGCGCCTGCCACCTGCGTAAAAAAACGTCGTTGAAACATAGCACTATATGCAAAATTGGGGGATTGAACATGAAGAATGTCAACCAAAGCGTTTCAGTACGATGAATCTTGCACTGGGCCTAATAATAATGAAATCCATCACGCAAAGGAAAAGCAATATAACGGAAAGGAGCTAGCGCACCCGTACTGTGGAGTATTCAAGTACGGCCCGTTTGGCACCTTTTGTCACCAACACCAATTGTCGCTTGTAAATAGATTACACTTTACCTAGCCTTGTGTGCAGCTTACCGCTCGAGAAATTCTGACAACCGTTAATTATATCCTACCGTCAGCCATGGATTTCACCGCTGCTGCCTTTATGCCTCCTGGTGGCGGCTACGCGGATGACTCCTCAAACCACAGTGCGACAGAGACTTGTACCCTTCCGGCTTATCTGCGCGCGCCGGAGGTCACGTCGCAGGTGTGGAGGAGCTCAGGAACGTGAGGTCGTGCGGGTGGTTCTTTTTCAACACCAGCCCGCTGTGGCGCTTGCAGGTCATGGCAGAGTATATTTGGCTGATGGGTGGCACAGGCCAGCTGCGGAGCAAGACCAAGGTCCTGGAGACGAAGCCAAATTGCCCGGAGGAGGCTCCTGTCATGGTGGTGGAGAGCAACCCTGGCAACGAGTTGGCCGAGCCTAATCACGAACTTTTTCTGAAGCCGCGCAAGATCTTCAGGGATCCTTTCCGCGGGGGTGACCACATCCTGGTACTCTGCGATACCTTTTACGCTTGCCAGGTGCGAGCTTTACCTCCGTTGCAGGGCGGCTTTCTGAGCAAGCTGAATTTATTGTGATCATGGTTTTGAAATATCGTGTTCACTAATTGGGGCTGAGGCTTTTGTTCATTTTTCAGGTTGCCGCGGACCCCACCCTCATAACGGCCACGGTCTTGCAGCCCAGCGAGTCGAACAGTCGCGTGGCTTGCGAGAATGTGCTGAAGGTAGCAGAGCAGGAGAAGCCGGTCTTTGCGGCCGAGCAGGAGTATGCCATAATTCACCCGGCCTATCCAACTGTGGTACCTTTGGGCCCTCGTCGCTCGTCGTCGCGAAGCAGCAGCACGAGCAGCAGCCGCCATAACAAGAACCTTAGCGGTAGCACGGCGCGCGGTGGAGTGAGCAAGAGCGGCCACGCTAACAAGGCGTCTAGCTCCATGGCGGCCAACCCCGCTAGGCGCGCGCACACAGATGTACACCGTCCAGCTGTTGTGGAACAAAGTAAGTTGTTCGGTCATTTGTATAACGAGGATTATTTGGTGCACGTTCTTCTCTTACTGACCTCCGTTTTTCTTATCCCTATTATTTCCAACAGGTGCGGCGTCGAGGCAGAAAACAGCCCGCCTTGTCGCTGATTCCCATTTACGTTGTTGTCTTTACGCGGGCATCAAGGTTACGGGCGCCGACGTGCACAGCCTTGAAGGCTTGCACTCATACAAGATCGGTCCCTCCGCTGGCGTGGACCTAGGCGATGACCTTTGGACCAGCCGTTATCTATTGCAGCGTGTTGCAGAAGATAACGGCGCGTCTGTGTCTTGGGATCCGGACGCCTTGCCGCAGGAGCGCCCGCTAGGCTGCTACTTCAAGTTCAGCACTGCAGCAACTCGGCATGCGCCAAGCGGTCTAGGCGCGATAGAGCAACAACTCGCAAGGCTGCAAGCTACACATATTCAGCATCAGTTTGCATATAATGACGGGAAGCTAGACAGGCTTGCTGCTCTGCACGTATCGTCGTTCACGCATGCCGTAGGCACGGCTAGTGCCTCCATAGTTGTGCCAAGCCTCACCTACATGCAGCAAGGTGGTTACTACATCGACCGCCGTCCTCCAGCGGATGCGGACCCTTACAAAGTTACGCTGCTGTTGGCTGCAACCACGCTGGACATCCCTCTTCCTAAGCTGCCTGCGTCATCATCCGCTGCGGCCTCTATGGGCCAGGTGCCGTCGGCGATTCCCGACAAGGCGCCTGTACCTCGCGGGCTGGCATTCAGCCCAATGGACAGCTATCTTCTCGCTTTGCGGCAGCAGCAGCATTGTATGCACGATTCTGAAAGCGAGGAGTGTGACTCCATTGACGAGGACGCTTGCATGACGGAGGACTCGGCCGCACTACTGGCGAAGATGGACAAGGACGGCGACTGTGCGGAGGCTTCTTCGTGCGAAAGCGACTACGAGCAGGATGATGCGAGCTCAAGTCCTCATGCCGAATGGGACGACGAACTGTCCAACATGCAAGGCGAGGGTATTTGAAAAGGGGCTTCGGTGGTCTAGGGTTGATGTTTAGGATACAGGGCAAGGGGGCGTTGCCAGTGAACTGGAGGGACAATGTGGAAGGACTTTTACGCTTGTACTGTGGTGCAGTGATTGCGCTTATGCAGTGAGAAATGGCTTTGCGCCAGTTAGGTCGTCGGCCAGAGACATTACCTGGCAGTACGCTATGACCTGATGACCTAGTAAAAGCTTAGTACTCTGTTGGGAAATCAAGGCGGTGGCGTGCAATATTTCCTTCTGATATGCACAGATCCAGTCATATGTTAGTATAATTTTCGCGCAATCAGTCGGTCGTTTTGGACCGCTCGTACATCTTGCGCTGTGCTCACTGCGCCCGCTATTGTGACGAAACGTCCGGTGCAACATGTGTCGTCAACAACGTTTGCATGGTTTGTTTGTCGCATTCGCTTGTTTCAACCAAGTCCATTGGTGGTGTTAACCATACCTGCGCATTTACAGAACACCGCGCATTTTTGAACGGACTAGTTTGTCACTTGCCCGGATCTGGTTACTGGCGTGGAGGCTGCTGCTTTTTGTAGGTGGTCAGTATTGTGGCTAATGGGGGTTTGCGCATTATGCCGTCTATAAAAAATAATGTGTGTGAACTTACGCTGCTTTTACTGGAGGTGCTGGTACTCCTGTTCGGTAGAAACGTCACAGGCTCGCAGTTTTCCCCTCATGTGATGTGCACGCGGCCACGGGTCACGCGAGCCGCTGCGAACGAAATGAATAAGTAGTATTTGTGGTAGCAAGGTATCGAAGTCACGTATATGTTATTTATGCCATTAACGGATTATTCAAAATCGGGCGCGAAGGAGAATGGAGTTGTGATATGTGTAGGTGGTGCTTAACATAGTCCACCTTCTGTGTTTTAGAAACCTACTTGCCAGCTGTTCCTTCCAAATCGATGATGCTACATGAAACAGTGTACTATCGCATACGTTTCGTGGCAAAACTATGATGGCGATAGGGGCGTGTGCAGAGATGCCAGTGCTTTCAATCATTACATAAAATGAAAGAGCTACTGCAACGGACGTACAAAATAGAATTTGCCAGAATGGTTGTAACCGGGCGATATAAAATTGGCCACACCGCGTAACGCACCATTGGACATTCCCAAAACCCCTTTGCTGCTTTCCACACCTAAGCTTCCTTCCGAGGCGATGCTGATGGCAGCAACTGCTCATGGTACCTAGAATGGGGTAAGGCAGAAGCACGAAGGATGGAGCGAACCGTCTTTAGTGCGCAAGGATTGTAAAACTGATGGTGGTCCTCAATAGGGTTAAACCAAACGATTGCTCTGCCTGCCATGCAAACCCTGCCCTTAAGTACATCGTTGCTTGATGTCCGGTATACACGCTGTGAGCAAAGTAGGAACGGTGTACGCATGGGAAGCTACGGCAAACCGTCGAAAGCGTTACTCAGAAACGCACCGGCGGGCAAAGACCTCGAAATAGTAGCTGCCGCCGTGCCAAATGGATGCACTAGCAACCGCCGCCAGCAATGCTGTGTGAGCCCAAAAGCTGCAATGTGCCGTTCCGGACAAGCATGCAACATCACAAGAGGTATGGGTCAACTTAAAACGCATGGCGAAATGCAGGGCGGCAACGGAGTAGTAGCACAAACACCACCTACCAATAACTATGTACAAACATTCAAGTCCACTTTCCCTGTCGCGAAAAACCCTGATGCTGTGCCCAACGGGGGGATATGCTCGACCGTGCGTTTACAGGGCCCTCCTTGCGGCCACTCGCTTCTCTCCTATGACTGGACACGGGCGCAAGACGGGAACGAAACGCTGCCACGTGCCAGCGTCCCCAGCCGCGTCACCATTTCCACAACCGCTATCCCACTCCCCCCCCACTGCACTTGTGAACCTGTACGACACCAAGACAGTAGGGGCCCAAGGGGCCCCCTCCTTTGCCCCACATCAACCGGTTCCGCCCTCTCCCCCACCCCACCCCGCACGGTCTATGAAGTCCGAGCCAGACGTCTTCTGTTCACCTCACAACCTCAGGAACTCTTGCACAGCCCGCACGCACCTGTGCCAGCACAGCATCGCCACGGCGAACGTGGTGGCGCAGAAGCACAGGTGCAGGAACAGGTACACGGGCGGCTGGAGGGGCGGCGGGATGCGGCGGGCGATGGCGTGGAAGGTGCCCTGCGGGTTTTGGTTTTAAGGGCCGGGAATCGTGCTGTTGATCGAAATGAAGATGTTGATGATATCAAACACTACTACGAACTGAAGAACAAAACCGCATAGGGGAAGGTACGGGGTGAGCTATGTGGACAGCATGTGGCGTGTTCGGGTGCCCTTCGGGGGGTTGTGGGGCATTACGGCCTTAGGCGGTTAGCGGAATGCAGCTGACCCACCCTCCCTTTGCAACGCGCGGGCTCCCACGCAATGCTTCTGTTCGATACCGCCCTCCGATCACCTAAGCGATGTTCCCATGCCGTACACACCTACGCACACCGTCGCTGGACTAATCCCTTCGGTGAACTTGCTCGTACCCTACTCGAAGCTCAATCCTTTTCACCACACACATTTGCACGCATACATACAAGCATACACGTTATATGCGTGTGTATTTATGCAGATTCAGGTATGCATACCCAAAACAATGTTGCGGGTTATAAGAGGCGTATTCGCCGCTTCGTTTCTTAGCATTTCCCCCCCAGGAGCCACGACGCCGCTAACGTTTTCAATATACACTATAGCCGAGTCCGGTCCTCCGGTGCGCCGTACCGGTCTGATTTGCCGTACTGCACTACCTTTTTCTGGGTGGTCACGTAATTGAAGAGCGTGCGATATCCGCGTTGCTGGATCTTGGCCCTGAGAAGGTTGGGAGTGTGCGCATGGGGATGCAAATGGACATTTGGGCTATATTATATTGTTGTGCTTAAATCAAAAGCAATCGCGGGAAAGAACCCATAAACGTTCTAATAATAATATGCGAGTGTGCGAGTGTGTGTGCACCACCATCCGGAGGTGCGTTACTCTCCAAAAGTGTAACCTAGCGGGGCCCATACCTGGAGCCCTGATGAGGTGGGGCCCCAAGGGCCAGCAGTCGAGGGACGACGGCTGTCCGAATTAGATCAATATCGTACTAATCCAAGTACTACCATGCTCCGCAGGTCTTTGCCCACTCCCAGATTCGTAACTTCAACAACGTCTTTCCCGTTTCCCGGTGCACTGCGACTCATCCCCAAACCCTTCCCCTTCCCTTCCCCCGTCATACACCGCACGCAACACTCCTCCCCCGCCCCCCCCACCTAGAGAACACGAATATCTTCAGGTAGTAGGCCAGGGCCCAGGCCACGTAGAACACCATGGGCAGCAGCACGTTGGGACCGAAACCCGCAGAATGCCACCGGGCTCTGCGGGCAAACGGGGCCGGGGGGAAAGGGGGGGAGAGAGGAGCTCCAGAGGTTGTATGTTGTGTGTGTGTGTGTGTGTGTGTGTGTGAGCAGAGAATAAAGCAATCTGGGCCTCCTAGCTCAGCTGGTTAGAGCGTAGTGGCAATAACATTGTGCACGCCAGGGTTAACAGTTCGATCATAACAGGGGCCCAAAAGGAAGTGGCATATTACCGCATTACACGCGCTGCGTGAAAGCTGGAGTGAAACAAACGGCTGTGCCTGGGCGGAGGGGACCTTAGGGCTCAGAGTGGGCGGAGAAAAATGTGAAGCCATTGTGAATTTGGTGGCAGTAGTTGTGGCGATGACGGTGGTCGTGGTGGCGGCAATACAGGGAATCAACGGGGCAGGCACCGCCATCGGAGGAAAGGAAAACGGCCCGAGAGAGGGGGGGTGCTGCGCGCAATAGTCCTAATCGACCCAAGGGGATATCCGAGGGGGCGGAAAGGATCGCGACCTCCTACCCGGCCTCCCCCCCTCGTGTCTCAACCACGGCCACAGCCCTGACCGACATTCCCCGCTCGCGCCTTTCCATTTCTCGAGATCACAGGCGGCTTATCCCCCCCTTCCCCTTTCTCCTCCCCTTCCCCCTCCCCTTCCCCCTCCCCTTCCCCTTCCCCTTCCCCTCCCTCCCTTCCTCCTCCCCTCCTCCTCTCTTGCCGTGGCAGCAGCTTCAATCGTGTGTGGTTCGCCTTTCCCCCTCCCCTCCCTCCAGCACGTCAAGGAAAGAAACTGGGAGTTCTTCGGCGGTCTTTTTCGTGGGGCTGGGCATTAGCCCCTGGCCAGTATCAGGCCCGGCAAGACATTCAATAAACACACACGTACACCAAAGGAAATGGTGCCATACAGCTCTGCAGCCCCTCCCGACCTTTCTTCCGGAGTTGCTTCCCCCGGGGGCCCGAAGCGGCCCGGGTCGCCATGCCACCTGAAGTGGGAGTGGTTGGGGGTTGGGGGTTGGGAGGTTGGGGGTTGGGAGGTAATGAAGGGGAGTTGCGACAACTTAACTGTCAAAGTTCAAATCAGTGTGGTTGTTTCCCCACGGGGGTATGGAGGCGTTGGCTGCGGATGGTGTGTGTGTGTGTGGTGGTGTGTTGGTGGAATGAGGGGAGTAGTGAGAGTCGTGCGCGTTTTGCGGCCTCGCCCTCACCCTCACCCTCCTTCATTCCTTTTTTCACCACCAGTTTTTTGTTCCTAGCTTTACTTTGTCCCCCCACCCCCCCATCACCCCCTCCCTCAACACCCCCCTTGCGACACACACCTTAGCGACCAGGACACCAGGGCAGGCACCAGATGCAGGAACAAACTGGTCACCTGTATGTATGTATGTGTATATGTATGTATGTATGATGCGTATATAAATTTGTGCGCGGGGGGAAGGGGGGCAGGGGGCAGAGAAAAGAAAAGGTTAGTTGGGGGAAGTTAAATGCAAAATGCAAAGAATCCCATGTATCATGCCATACGGGGATATGGACGGGCGGAACGGCACCAACGACGGCGCCTCCCCAAGTGGCCCTCTTATGTCACCAGCGAGCCGAATGGCTTGTAGAGGTGCCGGGCTTTTGGATCCGCAGAAGAGAAAGACCCCGTCTGCCCGCGTCTGTGTGTGTGTGTGTTGTGTGTGCGTTGTGCTTTGCTTGCCATCCTGGCTACACTGTTACAGCTATTAGCGCTGGCAAGATGGTGTTGAGGATGTATGTATGTATGTATGATGTGTGAAACAGGGGGGTGTATCTTCGCCCGTGGCAGCTACCCTGCGAAACCCTGCCTTCCCCGGTATTTCGGGGCACCCTCATCCAGTCACCCTAGTCAACTTCTCAGTGGATCGCTCAGGTTCCGCACCCACCACCAGCATCCAACGGAATCTGCCGGGTCGACAGCGGCCCAACTCCGTTCCTGGTCGGCTCACAGGTTAACTTTATCCCAGGTCACCACCGTCCATCAACTAGGGGCGCAATGCCTTCCACATCGGAAGGACTTTGACCCTAATGGGTATCGATCCCGGGGGCAATGGTCGCGCCTTACCAGTAGTGCCAAACCCTGTGTATGTATGCATGCATGTCGTGCAGTTCTGGTCATAGCACTCCGTCACACACGTCATACCCCCCCAACCCCCGTCCCCCCTCCCCTCCCACCTTGTCCAAGTCATGAAACACAAGGGAGTTCCTGAAGGTGAGGATGGACCAGGCCAGTGGGCCCGTGTTGTAGGAGAACGTGACCTGAAGGGAAGGGGTAACATAGGAGGGTGAGGGTGGGGTTGGGGGGGGGGGAAGGGGAAAGACGAACCACGAACGAGTGAAGTTGCTGCCAAGGAAAGAGTGTACAAGAAGCAGAACTGACCAGTAGGCGTTCTTGAAGGCGGCGACCTCGGGATGATGT